AACCTCTACAAGAAGAAAGATGATCTTTCCTCCCAGAAGACTTCTCTGGGTCCCTTACATCCCCACCACACACACACGCCCATTGCCTTTCATGGCAAATGCATCATGGTTCCTGCTACTGAGTTTTACCTTCATGTATCCATGTGAGTCCCCACAGGCCTGAAAGTGAAAAAGAAAGACCTCCCATGGTTGTGTCTTCCTCTACTGGTCTTTGTTATGGACCTCATAGTCACTATGGTCACCAAACAGATAAATAGCCAATGAATCCTGAAACTGAGGAAAAGGCAAGCTTCTCAGGCAGCCTGCTTGGCAGAGCTCTGGACTAGAGAAACAAAGTCAGAGCTCAGAGGAGCACTTCTTTAGGAGCACTAAAGGCCGTGGAGTGGTTAATCAATATGGATTTCTGCAGCAGACATTTTTAACTCATATTATAACAGATGAACCTTCAGTACATTATGCTAAGTCAAAACACAATTTTTAAAAAATGCAAGTATTATATGATTCTACTTATACAAGACCAGCAGCTCTTAACTTTAAAACTCTGAAATAACTTCTTTTTCTTCCTGCTGTAGTGGGATTCTTTACAATAAGCTACAACCTCAGTCCTTTTTTAATTTTAAGACAGGATCTCCCCTTAGTGTTCAGGCTGGGCTCACTCATAATCTTCCTCTCATTCAGCCTCCCACAGTACTGAGATTACATATTATAGACATTTGTCACCATGCACAACTAAACTCTGAAACCTCCTGGGCACTAACACAATGCCACTAGTGGAAAATTCCACACCAGATCTTCTGACAGGCAGCCATCACAATGCAGGTACAGTAAAAATTACCTTCAACCTATGTATATAAGGCACATATATGAAACACAAATGAACTTCTCTTGAGGGATATCTACCCCCAAGATATCTCATCATATGAACACAAATATTCAATTTAAAAAATATACCAAAATCCAAAACTTGCCTGCCAGAGCATTTCTTTTTTTTTTTTTTTTTTGAATGTAGACAACATTATTTTATTTCAAATGAAATTAAACTAGAAAATAATAAATTAAAGATAGCTTTTTAAAGGGCAATATGCAAAAGATACATAAAACCAGGCTTCTAAGTAAACTCATGGGCTCACACAATGGCATGGACCTAATGTCTCAGCCACTGGGCGGAGCATTTCTGATAAAGGACAACCAACATGTACGAGGTGCCTAGAAGAGTCAGATTCACAGAAACAAAGTAGAATGGTTGTTGCCTGAGATGGAGGGAGAGGAGTCAGTGTTTAATAAGAATACAGTTTGGGGAGATGAAAGCACTCTGGTTGCTGACGGTAGCTGCATAACAGCAGTGAGAATGCACATAATGTCACCAAACTATGTTGTTTTAGTTTGTTTTTGAGAAAATGTCTTGCTGTGCAGTTCAGGCTGGCCTTGAACTCATTCTGTAGCTCAGGCTGGCTTTGAACTCAAGACAGTCCTCTTTCCTCAGCCTTCAGAATGTTGGGATTACAGATGAGCACCACCATGTCTGGAAGAACTATGTGCTTAAACATGGCTAAGATGGTAAATTTTATGTTATATGTATTTTATCACAATCAAAACCAAACCTTTAGGTCATCTTTTTGCCTTGCTTCTAGGAAGGAAATGGAGAACAGGCCCACAATAGTGCTTTGGAGGCTCTAGATTGACAACACTAACATCACAGGTTTTTATCTGTCCCCAAGAACACCAGAAATAACAGAAGAACCTGTAGTCATGGGCAACCTACACTGGAAGCAGAAACAAGCAGAGGAGAGGGGCAGGCATATGGGTTTTTACATTCTTCATCTGACCCACTCCAGAAAAGCCAGGGGCCCAAGTACATTTCTCAGGCTGCTACTTGTCTGTGAGGTCACCCAGAGCCCACCTTACCTCCAATGGATTGGGGAAGTTTCCTTTCCTTTTTTGGGAAATGTGCCTCCTCTTCACACCCACCAATTACAGGGTATGTGGGTGTATCAATAAAAAGATTTCCCAAATAAGGAAAAGCAATTCCCATCTTATAGCCACACAGAAAGGCAACACAGCCTGCTGGCGCCTTCCAGCCAAGGTCTCTTAAGCAGAAAGGGCCTCTTAAGCAGCCTTGCCAGAACTGTGACTGCTACCTCCTGCTATTGCGCTGCAATTCCCAGGCATCCATCTGCTTCTCCAGGTCCCAGCCGAGAGAAACTGAGACAACCTTTTTCCCCTCACCATTCTCCAGAGCTCTCTGGAGGGTTTTTCCCTTCTGTGGAATAACCACTTAGGTCATCACAATACACTACTAACACCACCCTCATCTTACTTTCTCTTCTTTTCCACTCAATTTCTCTTTCAAGCTGAGAGTAGAAATCCTGCAGCAGTGCACCACAAAACTATGGAGTTAAACGCCACAAATATTTGCTAGGTCTTATATGCCCAACCCCTATGCCAGACAATGCAGAAAGATACCAAGAATTATCAGGGGCCAACAATGGGGTGTGGGTGTCAGTCTAAATGGTAAAATAGCATTTAAACAAATGAAAACAAATAGCAATATTGAATAAAAGTCAAATAACAATTCAAAATAGATTGTGACTATGTGTCAGAGGAACAGACCAGCCACAAAATACTATAGTTTAAGAGTACAACAGATCAGCAGGGGAGGGAGGACCACCAGACAGGCCTGGAGCTAAGTCTAGCAGGACCAAGAAGGCCAGAGGGGCCATGGTCTGCTGTTTCTAGGGACAAACACCCAAATGGAGGCACCTTGCAGGCACAGTGGTTCAATATCCTCCCTAGCCAAGAGCCACACACAGGCAGTTCGGCTAGCTCTTGGGTGGCCTGATGGACAGGGAGCCCACCAAGACCCCCCAAGACCGGGAACAGGCCCACTCATTCTATGATGGGAACTTTCTGTACCACCAGCAGGCCACAATTCCTTCATCTAGGAAATGTGACAGGTGAGTTTATGCTGCTGATCATCAAATCAAACTTACATTTTAATTTTTAAAAATAAATTTAAAGGGCTGGCAAGATAGCTCAGTGGACTAAACGCCTGTTTAGGCAAGCAAAGGGACTGGGGTTTGATCTTCGGCACCACATGCTGCACCAGCCCCACCCCAGGCATGCTGAACTGGTCACTGAGACCGGGCATAGTGGCACATGTCTGTAATCCCAGAGCTGGGGAGGCTGAAAACAGGAGGATCACTATGAGTCCAAGCTGCATGGTGAGACCCTATACCAAAATACATTTTAAAAAAAAGAAAATTAAGATTTAGAAATCACTGACTAAATTACCAGCGCTTCTGAGCCTAGGGACTGTTAACATTGTGGGCCAATACCTTTTTGCAACATGAACCATCCTTGACTTCACCTCCTTATGCCAGTAGCATGCACCAGACCTTGAAACACACTGATCCTACTAAGGACCACAGTTTTAGGCACGCACAGACAAAGACTTACAGTGTCTAGAGTTTAGCCCACATGAAACTGCCAGTGGACACTCTCCTGTTCCAGGTCTCAAGACCCACTGACCCAGAAGGAATACAACTCGTGGTTGCAAGAAGGCTTGAAGTTAGCATTCCTGAGTTTTGCATTGCTCCCTCTGGGGAACAGCCATGAAGGACAAATCATAGAGCAGACCACCAAGTAGGTATTGAACAGACTTCTTCAGCGTATAAAAGAAGAGCCTCCATGCCTGTTCCTGCCTGACCTCCACCCAGACTGCCTGAACCTGGAATGCTTCCTCCTACTTGACCTCCATCTCAACCACCTCCTTGTAATTCCCTCACGCGATCTTTCTGAAATAATAAGGAAAGGTGTTAGAAGGCAGAGGTGATGCTTCCCAGGCACTTGAACACAACTACTACCATTCTTTCTCATTCATATAGAAGTAATACTATTTTATTCCTAGAGGTGCTAGATGTATACATCATCCATGTTTTGGAAAGAACAGTACCAACTGCTGCCCCATTAGTCTTCCATCTCCAAAATCATCTGCCAGAAAGTGGATCATGCCCAAAGGCTTTCAGCTTTAGGCTTCTCCTTAACACTCACTCTTCAGAACAAGTCATTCCAAAGACTTCTTTCTCCACATTCTGGCATGGGGCCATCTTTACCCCAGTGCCACATGAAACACTACCCATTCCAGACCTAGGTTGCTGGGAAACCAATGTGGGCCACAAGTGTTGGCACCCAGATTACTGAAAAGTGGTGCTTGAGACAGCGTGTCCTCTGTCTATGCTGACACAGAGGCAGCCCAGTAACCACTTCTCTGTGCTTACACACCTGTGCCAAAGGGAATAATGGATCTTGCTGGACATCAGGGAAGTCCGAGGAACTCTGTTCTTTAGAAGGGTACATGGCCCCAGTACAGTATGAATGTCATCTGGCTCCTTCTATATTGTCACATCAAGATTAAATGGGACAACCCAAACCAATTACAGCTGAGAACTCAGCCCTCAAAAGATAGCATTTGAAGCCACCTGTCGCTATGCATTCCTGCAGATCCACAGCCTGTGCAAGGCCCTGCTGAGACCAAGGACTCTGTCCTTCTCTCACCCTTGACCAGAAACAACTTTCTCTCACCACAACCCTGAAAAACATATCTCTTCATACCCAAGGTCTATATACCAGTAATGGTGAACCTTTTAGAGATGTGTCCAAACTGCAATAAAGTCCCCACATATTCATTGCCAGGTGGCAACACTGCAATTAAACATGAATACTGAGGTTTTAGCTTAGAAAAAACTTAATACACTAACATCTTTTGTCTTAAAAGAAAAATAACACATGTGCCATAGATTTGCCACCACTGGTCAAGACTTTCATTGGGGTCTAGGTTTTCAAAGCCACTGGGGAGGCGGGGTGTGGAGGAGAGACACAAGTCCTTAATGTTCTAGACTCTAAGAGAAGCCTGAGCACTCACATACCATGCTATCTACGACACCACAACAAAGGATCTTGATGAAAGCCAAGGACAGAGAAGAGGCAAGGATAATACTCACCATCTCATCCAGGGCATATCGCAAGAGGCCATGCTCATAAAGGATGAAGAACCGTCGCTGCCATTTCTGCAATGAAGAATAGAGTCAATGGTTGGGGGGGAGGGTTCTGACCCCAGGTCCTAGAGGGTTTGGCCCCATATCTGACAAATCTGTATGTGAGGAATAATGGCTTTACTGCTTGTGTCTCTGTGACAGGTAGCAGGAAAAGACAGCCCCAAGCATAAGCAGTGACTCATTAGCCAGATTAGGGCCAGAAGAGGGGCCCAAATAATGACTTGTAATTCCACATGAGGTACTGGGGTTTACAAGAAAAGAAGCCACGTTTCAAAATTTGGAAACTGCTAGAAGTAGAAACCTATGTGGTCACCTTTCTGCATTCCTTATGGCAGTTGGCACAGAGCTATCACATGATTCATACTGACATTTATTAGATGAATGATCTGATGTAATATGGAATAATCTGAGAATACCAAGGCACTTGTTCACCATTTCTAAAACAAAATCTGAGAAAACTGCTATAAAAGGGGCTATTCTGATGATCCACTGGGAAACAAGATGAAGGCATCCAGGCTCTAAAATTTGGAGAAAATTACACAGCAAAGATTAAAAGGGAAGAGGGCAGGCATCAGTGAAAATAACAAATTACCCCAACCTGGGGTGCAACCAACTGAAAAGACATTTCCTTCTGTACCTAAAGACCAGGCCACTGGTTCTACCAGCTATTAAACAGCACTGAGAGCTAGAATAAAAAAGACTAGGAGAGTAGGTGTCTTCCTTTCCATTTGAAGAAAAGCCTTTCTCGTTTTGCTGAATTCACACACCTATAGTATTTAGATGCCAATGGAATACCCATTTCTGACAGGACTAAACAAAAAAATGGGATACAAAGGAAGGACCATTTTCTATCTGTATATGCAGAATAGTTAGGATAGATATATAGCTACTTTCACTTAATTCAATGAGAAGAAAGATTTGTACTAATAGTGTTTGGACAGGATATCCTCCTGTCTGCATCTTGTACTATGAATAACCACTAAGAAGATAACAATGTACAATCTATTAATTATTGAAACTGTCTTACTAATCAGTTTTGAAACTGTCTTATTGCTACTTGTTTCTCAATAAAAATAAAATAAAATAATTAAAAATTTTTTAAAAAGGAATGTTATCAGGGGTGATAGCAAACAGCTGTTGCAAACTTGTAACAGACATAACTAAATGGATATTGGATCAAATAAATGATTAGTCAAAACTGGAAAAGAAAAAAAAAAAAAGAACAGCCTTTCTCAAGAGGCTGTTTGCTTACATCATAATTAATAGGCACAGATCTTGAACTCTAGGAGCATCAGGAGGATCCAGAATCTATGTCCAACATTTCAAAAAGCCCAACATCATACAGATCTTCATGGCAATAAAAACCGTAGAACTAAACACGTCCTTTTGATCAGGGGTTAGACTTTTATCATCTGTAATAATGATTTTCCTTATCAGAAGCTAGAAATGGCAATTCTGAACAACCTTAATACAAAATAGCAAGATGAGCACATCTCTGGAAAGTGTACTTTGACTGGACCATTTGTCTAAAGCTTGCCCAACTGGGCAACAACATAAACAGTTTCAAAGTGCCTTGCTTACAAAGACCTGCAAAGACTGCTTCCAGGCTGGACATTGTGGAGACTGCCTGGGTATGTTTCCCAGAAACAATTCCAAGGCTCCTATACGTGGTCTTTGAAATGAAAGCCCACTCCAGAAAGTAGCACAAAGACCACAGATCCAGGGCCTGGGAGATAGCTCAGTAGGATAAGCACTTGCCTGGCAAGCTCAGGCTCCTGAGTTCAATTCCCAGTACCAAAAAAAAGTTCTTAACCACTGAAAAATGTGTGAAGTTCTCCAAGGTAGCTGTTGAATCAGAAAGAAAGACCAGAGATCCAACGCAAGGTCTGTCAGGACAGAATATACAGGGCCAAGCATCCCAGATGGGGCTGAGCAGCAGATAGTAGAAGGAAGGGTAAGGAGCTCTAGAGTTATGAGATGGGAAAGGAACAGAGGTGCAGCAGCTCACGCCTGTTAAAGGAGTGAAAAAAGAAACATAATTTTTTAACTGAAGCCAATCTAAATGGGCCTGCTGGCAAAGGAAAAAGCCACTGGCCAGGACACTGCTGATTTAACCATTTTACTGCTCTAACAGGCAAGAGTTCTCAGGAAAGAGAGGCAACAAAATGTTCAGCAGGAGCTGAGCCCAGGGATCTAAGTCCTCATCCTTTTTTCTTTCTTTCCTTTAATCTATTGCATCTATCAGATTTTATTTACTCTCAGATTCTTACCCTAGCGAGACAATACGATGCTTAGACATGCAAGTCTGATTTATTTCACTTATAAGTATGGTTTCTAGTTGCATCCATTTATCTATACAAAGCTCAAGATAATCTTTTTATAGCTCAGCAATACTCCATCGTGTAAAAATATCACATCTTTTCTATCCATTCCTCAGTTGATGGGCATTTGGGTTGTTTCCAAGATTTAGCTATGACAAATTGTGCTGCTACAATCATGGGTGCATACATATCACTGTGGTATGATCTTTTCAGTTCATTTGGGAAAAAAAAAAAAAAACAACCTCAGTAGGGGAATAGCTTGGTTGAATGGTTTTTTGTTTTTTTTTTTTTTTTTGCGGAACCAGGGATTGAACTCAGACCCTTGCGCTTGCCAGGGAAGCACTTATTCTACTGAGCCATCTCCCCAGCCCCTGAATGGGTGTTCTAAGCCCAGCTTTTTAAGGAATCTCCACACTAATCTTCACAGTGGTTGGACCATTCTGCACAACCACCAATAGTGGACAAGAGTTCCTTTTTCTCCAAAGCCTCTCCAGCATTTCTTATTGGATGAATTCTTCATGTTAGCCATTCTTTCTTGGGTGAGATGGAATCGGAGTACTGTTTTAATTTGCAATTCTTCAATGACAAATGATGTCACACATTTTTTCATATATTTACTTGTTTTCATCTGTGAAGTGTATATTCATCTCAGACGCCCATATCTGAATCAGGTCTTTGAACTGGGGGCGGGGGGCTGATTTATTTTAATTCTTTATATGTTCTAGATAAAACTCCTTTGTCTGAGGAAAGAAGCTAAAATGTTTTCCTAAGTCAATTTTCTTTTCACTTTGTTAGTGATTTCTTTGGACATGCAGAACCTTCAAACACATGAAATTGCAATTGTTGATTCTATGAAGTATTTCTTGCACAGTTTGGGTTTTGTTCATAACTCTCTAACTAGCCTTATGTCTTTATGATTTCTACCTACACTTTCCTGAAAAAGATTGTTTCTGTTTTAATATTTGAATCTTTGATCCATTTTGACTGTAGTTTTGTGCATGGTGATAGACATGGGTCTAATTTTAGCCTTCAGCATGCAGAAAGCCAGTTTTTCCAGCACCATTTATTGAAGAGGCTATCTTTCTTCCAATGAACATGTCTGGCTGACTCCTTCATCAAATATAAGGTGGCTGAGTGTGTTAGTAGTTGTGTCTGTATCTCCTAACCTCTTCCACTGATCCTCAGGTCCATTTTATTGCCAGAATCATGCTGACTTTATCACAGTAGCTTTGTAGAATAATTTCAAGTCAGGGATTGTGATGCCTCTTGCCTTGCCTTTGCTGCCCAGCACTGCTTTTGTTGTTCTAGGTCTCTTCTGATTCCAGATGAATTTTAGGAATGTTTTTCTCTAGACCTGTGAGGTATGCTAATGGTATTTTAATCGGGATTGCATTGAATCTGTGTAACACTTTTGGGAGTATGGCCATTTTCACAATGTTGGCTTCTCCAATCCACGAGCAAGAAATATTGTTCCATTTTCTGAAATCCTCTTCAATCTTTTTTTCAGAGTACTGTAATTTTCACTGTATGGATCTTTTACTTCCTTTGTTAGATTGGTTCCTAAGTATTTCATTTTTTGGATGTTCTTGTGAAAGGTGTGGTATCCCTCAAATCTCTCTCCGAGTGTTTGTTGTTTGTGTACAGAAATGCTATTGATGTCTGAGTGCTGATTTTGTACCCTGCTATGCTACTAAATTTGGTTATTAAATCTACAAGTCTCTCAGTAGAGTTTTTGGAGTCCTCTATGTAGAATACCATGTCATCTGCAAATAATGATAATTTCACTTCTTCCTTTCCAATCATTATTCCTTTTATTTCTTTCTCTTGTCTGACTGCTCCAGCTAATATTTTCAGAACTCTACTGAATAAGAGTGGTGATAGTGGGCATCCCTGTCTTGTTCCTGATTTTAAAGTGAAGGTTTTCAGTTTTCGTCCATTTAGTATGATGCAGGCTGTCGGGTTTGTCATAGATGACTTTTATCAGATTGAGGTAAAGACCATCTACTCCAATTTTCTGTAGGGTTTCTAATCATGAATGAGTGTTGGACTTTGTCAAAAGACTGTTCTGCATCTACTGAGATGATCATGTGTTTTGGTCTTTGGCTCTGTTGATACAGTATATTAATTTATGGATTTGTATATACTGAACCATCCCTGCATTCCTGGGATGCACCTCACTTGGTCATGATGTACAATCTTCCTGATGATTTGCCGCATTCTGTTTGCTAGTATTTTACTGAGGATTTTTGCATCTATGTCCATTAGGGAGATTTGCCTATAGTTTTCTTTTGGTTGGATCTTTCTCCAGTTTTGGTATCAGGGTAATAGTGCCTCCAGGAATGAGTTTGGGAGAACAGCTTCTCTTTCAATTTCCTTGTAGAGCTTGAGAAGATTTGGCATTAAATCTTCTCTAAATTTCTTGTAGAATTCAGCTGTGAATCCATCAGGACCTGAGCTTTTCTTTGCTGGTAGATTTTTATTACATTTTCAATTTCACTGACTGATATTGAGGTATTCAGAATTTTTGTATCTTCTTGATTCAGGTTTAACAATTCATATGTATCTAGGAAACCATTCCTTCTGTTTTCCATCCTCTGAGACTAAAGACTTGAAGTAGGTATTGATGACCTGAATTTTTATAGTCTACAGTAATTTTGCTCTTTGTATTCCTTATTTCATGAATTTGAATTTTTTCTTTCTTTTTTTAGGTAAGGCTGGCTAGGGGGTTTGTCGATTTTATTTATTCTTTCAAAGAACCATTTATTCTTTGTATTTTTTTTCTTAGTCTCCATTGCATTAATTTCTGCTGTGATCTTTATAATTTCCTGTCTTCTTTGGGCTTGATTTGCTCTTTTTTTTGTAGGAGCTTGGTATTGAAGATTGTTTATTTGTACTTTTTCTGTTTTCCTGATGTGAGAATTTATCACTATAAATTTCTCTCAACACAGCTTTCATTGCATCCCACTGGTTCTGGTAAGATGTAGTTGCATTTTTGTTTGATTGTAAATACTGTTTAATTTCTTCTTTAATTTCATCTGTGAGCCATTTATCAGGAGGGTGTTATTTAATTTCCATGTATTTATGGAGGCTTTCCTGTTTTGTCAATGATTTCCAGTTTCACTGCATTATGGTCAGATAATATGCATGAGATAATTTCAATTCCTCTGCATTTATTTAAACATGCTCTATGTGCTAGTACAGGATCTATTTTGGGGAACATCCCATGTGCAGCTGAGAAGAATGTGGATTCTGATACTGTTGCATAAAACACTCTGTATGGCTGGTGAGATGGCTTAGTGGTCTAAAGCACCTACTTAAAACAAGCTTAGTCAAAGCACAGGGACCGCGATTCAATCCCCCAGCACCACATGCCAGCCAGCCCCACCCCCTGGTGGGCTGAGCTGCCCCCCCACAAATAAATAAATA